AAGATATTTGTCATGTGCCATAACCTCTTTAATACCAAGATAACTGGTTATCCTATGCCGCACCTCTGGGCTAGTATTGCTGCTAAAAACTATAGCAGATTTGTCCAAATTTATTTCCTGTCCCGAAGCAGATTTGTAGAGTTGCAAAATGGACTAGATATGCTGAGCCTCACGGAGTGTTGAAAGAATAGCTTTCAAACTCATAGTGTCTGTAACATAACTATTTTACCATTGCAACACAGAAGCTCCAAACGGATAGATTATAGGGTGACGTACATCATTGTGGATGGCTACCTAAGAACCTGAAGAAGGCCAGTGATGGAGTTCCCTTGGAGTATCCTACTTAATTCCCGCTTTGGATTGTCATTTGTTTTCAAAAAATGTTTATGTTTGTCGTGAATGCATTTTTTAATCACCTTTTTACCTTTTATATATATATATATATATATATATATATATATATATATATATATATCAAATTGCTACAATAAATATTTCTACAAAAAAAATTCTAGAAAATAGCAATCCAGACGGGCTCTGATTTTTTTGTTCTTCCTTCATCACAAAAAGCTGGAAAACGAATTGGGCTTTTGTACAAAACCAAAATGAGGCTGCTTTTCATTTTCACTCGTACTAAAACAACAAATTGGCACAAAAAGAAACCTGTTTTTTTTATTTCGTTTTAGGATGATAAAAATACTTAAAATAGGACAATATCTAAATAAGGAATAGATGTAAAATTAGAACAATTGGTTTTAAAAAAAAACCATTTTGTTTTCTTTTTCCCATTAAATCCCAAAGGTTTAGCTGTACAAATTGGTCCTAGAAGAAGAGGCAATTTGTTTTTTTTTTTTTTTTTGAAAGTTGGCAAATTAATTCACTCACTCCAAAAATAGCTAATAATTCTTAACTCAGTTTCTAATTTTCGTATTTTCAGAATGAAATTGCAACATGGAAACTCCTTCGTGCCTGATCCATAAGGATATGTTGAATTGAGAGGTATCCTCTTAACTCGTGCGAAGTACACTCTTCTCGTCATATGATATTTAAGGTGAGATTATGGGTGGTATATAAATTATAACTCATCTCATTAAACGATACCTTGTCTTATTTTGTTTGAGGTTTTTAAACTATATCTTTTTTTATTATAAGTTTTGCAATTATCAATAATAATACATTCGGCCTAAAGATACTCAATGGCTAATCCTACTTGTAAGGCCATATACATAGTTTCACAAGACAGTAGAAAATTGGGCATGGGTGAAGTTATTCAAAGAAAACAAAAATCATTTATCCAGTTGTCTACTTTGATTGTTGAATAATTCTTGAATGCTATGTGCTTTTATGTCCATCGTCTTGTTTATAGTATCTTTTGGATTAGATTTAGCAATAGTTCTATTTATTTTCAAAATTAATTTTCCATACACTGATAATATATATATATATATATATATATATATATATTCTCAGGTTTGGATGCATAACAATTAATGTAAATTTAAAATTTGAAATCCAAGTCTTATATATGTCATGCATCCAACCATATACACTATCAGTATATGTAAGACCTGTTGGATAACACAATTCAGCACTTAAATTTAATAGATTCAGATCTTAACGTATTCAGACCATTTGACAACCAAAAATTGAATATCTGAATTAATTAAGTGGCATTGAATTTTCTAAACAAAATTTGCTCCCAAAATTAAGTGATAAACTGTTCACTTATCACTGAATGTGATATGCACTCAAATGTATTAGATTTAATACTTAACAATTCAATAACTTAATAGATTCAGAATTCAGATTTCAAATTTCAAACTTCAATTTTATCAAACGCACCCTTATTATTTTTCCCTTCAAACCCAATCATTACGATGCCTTCATGCCTATGCCTCTTCTAGGGTCTATATTTCTTGTCCCTAGGACTATTTGGTTATTATTATTATTTTCAAATTTCCCAATTCCTATTGGTTGTTATTTTTTCTAGATTTACCAATTTCTTTGTCTTGGTAATAGGCATTCATCCAGCGATGGAAATAACATATATTTGAAATTCCTAAAATTAAAAGTCCAAAATTTGATGTGAATTTAGTCTAACTATATGTTAGCATTCTTATTATAAATTATTTGTAAAATTCTATTTGAGTTAATCTCCTTATTATTATGCAATTGTGTTCTTAAAGAAAAAACTTCAATCCCCCTCCTTTCCTTTTACAGTACATATCAATAATGAAAAGTAACTAAAATCTTCTATCTCTTTCCATCTTTGACTTTGACATAATAGCGAAATGACTTGAGGGCCGGAGGGAAGGGGATGGGAGCCTAAAGAACCTATAAGATATACAAATTTAATTAGACAAAAAGAGTGTTCCGACACTTCTTTTGAATTTTTTCACTGTAAAGTGCTTTAACACCTTTTCTGAAATATTTTTTTTTACTGTAGATGGGGTTCGTCCCCAACCTACAGACTGGTTTTTCATGTTATGATTAGTGTGCAAAAAGAAATTGACCACGAAGGTCAGTATGGTGCAAGTATTCTGTCTGTCTCACTTGTATTTACACCATGGAGCACAACATCTTCATTTATGTTATGGTCTATGGTTTATGATTATGATTTCATTTATATCGTGGCCTATGGTTTGGTTTATGATTATGTTTGGGATGAATTTGTATTCAAATCATGCATTAGAGCTTTGCAAGGAATCTAACAATGTTTGGCCTGTCACTACATCACTACATCAATATATCGGTGTAAAATTCGAACGTATTCGAGCTAGACTTGAATTTGATTCGATAAAACTTAATTAGATTTGCCTCAATAAACAAATTAGCCAAATTTAAATATAATTTCAAACTCATTAACACAAATAAATAAGTTTGAACACTAAAATGTCATTGAACCAATAAAAAGTTACTCCCATCTCAATTGGATTGCTATATTTTATATTTTCTGTAGAAAAATATAATGTAACGATTTAATATATACGAATAAAAAGGTATTTGAAAAATATAGTCAAAGAAAATATAAAAATATTCTGTAAAAACTCATTAATAAAATTTTGACTGCGTATCCCAAAGTTTGAATTGAGTTCTCGTAATTACAAAAAATGGTTACAAAGGGGCTTAGGTTTATCGAGTCCCAAGTTTTCTCCATTTGGGGGAGTTCACAATCATTATAGTCCTATGGTCCGAAGCTTTTCCCGAGTTCAAATTCCATGAGAATTACACATAAATATCTTTCAATATAAAAAATTACACTATCCTCCCCATTTACTTTGATGTGACCAGATGTCATATTCAACAGTAGTAAATTGACTAAAATATCCTCACAAAATCAGTCCCTAAAATATTAGAAATATGGGGAAAAAATAAGTCTTCCAAGTATAATATTTTTATATGCAATTTGACGCCATTAAGTGGATGACCTTGTTGAGATTTTTTTTTTTTTTTTTTTTTGGTCTTGAATTGCTTATTATGGGTATTCAGTCAACTTGGAAGTGTATGACCTTATTATTTATTATATTTAAGACTTGTTTTAGTTTATTTAGTTTGCAGTGTTTTGTACATTTAGAATCTGTGATTTTGAGGCATGGAAGATAAACTCCTACTATACATTGTAGATGGATTTAAATCCGCCATTTTGTGCCCTCCTGGTTCTACCACTATCTAACTATCAAGGGTCAACTTTTGGTGGTACATTCTTACAATTTTATGCATATTTCAAATAGACTTTAAAATCTGAATGAAAATGAATATAGATCGTAAACTCAGGTTGATCATTATTAGTATTTGGGCAGGTGACATTACACTGCTACCAATGCTTTTTGATTTTTGAACTTGTGTCGGATCTTCTCATCTTTGACTGCTCACTTCTTTAGTTTCGTTGCCATCAAACCACTCAAAATAACCATACTTAGAATTACAAAAATATAACTTGAGAGGATTTTTTTTTGCTTTCGAAAATTTTAATTATTGCTTTGCATTCATACCCACAGTTTCTGTTTTTGATCTTCAATGATGTGCCGCATCTGATGAAAGTTTGATAAAGACATTTTCTCTGGTTGCCTTTGCATTCAGTTGAAATTGGCCTTTGTTTTTCGCTCATTTACCAGCATTTTATGTTATATATTGTCCACAAAGTACTGTTGCACTTCCAACAGTTCTTGTAGGACTTTACTGTCCAGAATGCTTATTTGTTTAATTTTTTTTCATGTCCTAAGTGGATCAAATTTGTGCCAATTTTTCTTCCTTTTTTTATTGCCATTTTTCTTGCCCCAAATTTTAACTCATTTTCTCACGGGGTTCAATGAGGCCAAACTTGAAATATAATTGTTTGATAAGACTAATTCATTACTTTTAACATTACCTTTTCTCACATGAACTTAGATTGTTATCAAATATATCAATCAAGGGGAGGATAATGTAATTTTTAATATTAGAGGGTATTTCCGTATAATTGTTAGAAACCTCAGGGGAGGTTTCTAAAATTATCCCTAAAGAAAATCAAAATACTAGATAAAAAGAAGAAATCAAGACAGAAAAAGAATAACGAAAAAGTGAAGGATGCTTCCATAAATAAAAGCCTAACCCCTAAACAACAAGTTTTTGGTTATTTATAAATCTGACCTAAAACCCTCACCTCTATTCATTTTCAAACCCCTCCAGCGGCCATCAATTCCTCATTGCTGCCCATCCCCCGACCCCTCACTACCCCTCACTACCCCCCACCCCCACCCCCAGCCCCACCCGGCCAACCCGCCCCTTCCCCTTCCCCTTCCCCTTCCTCTCTATCTTCAAAATCCCAATTCCATTATAATAACGGCAATTCTTCTACAGTAGAGCGAAGTAGGGTTTCTTTTTTTGGCCCCCTTCATTTTACAGATTTTTTTTAGATAATAAATCTTGTATTTGTATTGAAATTCTTCGATCCGCTTTCGTTTCGATTGGATTTGAATTCATGGAAGAAACAGGTCAACAGAGCTTCGATCGATTCGCCCCCCATCTCGTCTCCTGGTTTGTATCATAGCTCTACTTTCGCGTATATGTATGATTTTTTTTTTTTTTTTTTGCATAGCAAATCTTGGTTCTGTTATTTTTCTGAATTGAATTTGGTAGCTTTGCTATCTTGCTTTGTATAACGGATATTGAATTTGGTAGATTGACAAGGCGTTGGCCGACTTGAATTGGGTTTTTCTGGAAAGTTTTGAGTTTTTAGTTGCTTCTTTACCTATCGTTGGCATGCTGATTAGGTTCAAGATAGAATGAGGATCATTTATGGTGTTTTAATATCGCTGGCATGCTTCTTTTCCTGGAAAGGTGATAACAGTATATCGTAAATGTGGAAAGGTGGCATGTATGTTAAGTTTACTCAGAAAGGTCTCAGCAGAAAATTTCTTGATTGATGTGCCCTTATCAGAAAGATGTTTTGTGTGCCGAAAAGTAAACGGTGCTTTTTCTCGTCGAACTTGTATTATCACATGTTTGTCCCCATTCTGATGAAGCTTAGCCTAATCTTGGAATCTCTTACAGTCAGGCATAATAGAATTACTAAATCCCACCTCCCTATTATTTGGTAATGGGAATTGTGTTTTGGGGGGGGGATGTTTCCAACGTGGAGTTTGTGCAGATGGCCCTTTTATGTATAAGCGGATGTTGGGAATCTATTAATGACATGGTGATTTTGTTCAACAGTTGAAAACTTTGCAATTGTTATATGTCCTGTACCTAATGCTTCTGGGGATGACATGTTCGTTTTGAGACTAAATGTTTCTTAATGGTTGCTTAGTCTGTTGTATTACTGGTAAATAATTGGTGTATTACTTATATTCTTGATGATTTTAAAGTGGGAATGAGGTCAATATTCTTTCCCACAACTGCAATAGATAAGAAGAGGAAAATAAGAATGGTATCATGCTTTCTTACTTGACCAATTAAGTGTGTGGTTGCTTTATGAATTTTTTGGTTTCAATGCAGGGGAGCGAGCTATTGAATTGCATAATGTGACAGAACAGGTAAATCCATATAACTCATGATTGTACTGTGTTTCTTTTGTTTCTCTAATTCTCCATTAGCTTAGGTCTATTAGTACTTCCTTTTCAATCTATTATCAGCCACTTTCGCCCAAAGATGAAAGGATATTTCTGCAAATCCTTCTCCGGATGCAGCCATCTCAGGGCTCCAAGAAATGCCAAAGATCAGCCTGTTCCCTTGGATAAGAGTGGAGCTCTTACCACTGTGCATCCACTTGATGTGCCGCATGAACAAAGTTTTTACTTTGGAGGTTAGGTCCTTTTATAGTGTGTTCTTGCTGATTTAGTTAGCAGCTATAGTCTTTTCTCAACGTTTCTCTGACCATACATGTGGGCTACATGATATCTTTGTTGGTTCTGTTCTCATGACAGAGCTTTCGACTGTTGAACTGTGTGTATCTGCATTCTTTCATGGGGCGTTGTATTGCTTTGTGTGTGTTACAATTATTTTTGCTCCTTTTTATGGCTGCAAGAGAGGGGTGTTGTTCCTCTGCTTAATATTTTCATGGGGTTTCAGCAGCATAAAATTTGTGAATCTTATGCTCTTTGTGAAGGTTTCTGGTCAACATGTCACGAGTTTGAAACTGTAATACTGAGTGAAATTGGGCTTAATTACTTTAGTACTGATATGTAGTGTACCAATTTTCTCAACTTCCACATCTTTGAATCACTGTTTGTTAGTTTGCATGTGTTTGCTTTTTTGGTTCCTTGTACTTTTCTCCAATGTACATAAAGTTTTCATTGTTCATCATTTTTTTTGTTGTACTTAAAACTCATTATTCATCTTTCCTTGGTTCAGGTCTTGACAATGGCACTGGGAACTGGATGAGCATTCTAACTATGTTAATCCTAACAGCTTACATGTTGTACCTCCAGTGAGTTTCATCAATTTGATATTGTTGCCTTGACTAATTATGCACAGAGGCATGAGACAGACTTTTTTATTCTGTTTATGAAATTGGGTATTTTGCTACATGTAGGGAATGTATAATGAAAATCCATCACTATTTTTCCCTCCTGGTTATGGCTATGACACCCAGATGGCATATGGACAGTTCTCTCCCATTCCGAGTCCAATCTCCACAATAATGATTGATGGCCAGTTTTACTCTCCGCACCAGATCCCAGTGACACCACCTTATTTTCCAGCAGTTTCACCTGGACTACCACATGTTAGTTCAGCTCTTACAGTCTCACAGACTGATCTAATGGCACCAGCAACTAGTGGACAAGAAAGCTTAGTTGATAATGCACTTTTTGGGCCAAGTTCAGGCTTCTATGTACCTTTTGGATCTTTTGGGGGAGGGGACCTTTCTGGAAATAGTAGCCTTGGTTTCTATAAGTTCCCAGGCGATTTTGGGTCTGCTGAAGGATTATCAAATCAATCAAGTTCCCTGGAATCAAGCAGGTACATGTCTCAGTTAACATCAGGAGCGGTATATCCACAGCCAATTGGCATTCTTGGGCCATATGAGCAAAATCTTGCTCAGGTTAGTTGTCTCATGATCTCCTTGATTCTATGTAGTGATATCTGCGAGAAGAATAATTGGAACTATTTTTCTGATATCAATTATTGTTTTTAAATATATTTCTTGTCCTCTTGTAAACTTTACATGACGTGAAGCTGAATAACTCTTCTTGTTCATGAAATAATTCATTGCAATTGGGCATTATTCATGTTTCATGTATTCTTTTCTTCATTTCTTGACTTGACTTAATCTTAATCAGCCTATTTTTATTGGTTACTCAAATGTATTTGTTTAAGTGACAAGAATATCTAAGAAAAAGTAGCATCCAGGATGCTTGTTTGTACTTGATATTTTTGATACTTTGTGCTCCACCATTGCCGGAATTTTTTCTATTCTTATTTCTTGAGTTTGTTGCCAACAGAATAAGTTTGGAAGTTTACAAATTTTAGTAGTTGAGTAATAATCTTTTGACAGTCATTGCTGGATTTATTTAAAAGCAGAATGCACTATTGCTCTATGTCTGAAAGGGTGGTCTGCGTCTAGCCCCATGCTCTTCTTTTTTTAAAAAAATTAAATCACATGTCCAAATGACTATGCCATCTACATTTTGTGGTTAAACTAGCGGCAGGCAATTGCATCAGTAACGTCATTCAAATTCTTTTCTTTTCCTGAAATATTGAGCATTCTGCACTCCTAGAATGCATCTTCATAGTTGCTTAAAGATTTTATTCCTTACACATTGTTGGCTACATGTTTATTAATATGTAAAATGTAATTGTTGGCTACATGTTTATTAGTATGTAAAATGTCTATCTGACAAACGAATGACATGAGATATGCTAATTTAGTTTGTTAATTTTGTCTTACTTTCCTTTTGAAGGTCTATGCTAATTTAGTTTATTAATTTTGCCTATCTTTTTTTTTTTTGGAAGGTTGAAATATTTGTCATCTTTATAATGCCATCCTGCACTTTTTGTTCAAAGCTGCAACTAGATCAACTTTCAATTTGTTTCTTTCTCTTTGTATTTTTTCTTTTCTGTTGAATTGCTTAACTACTTGGCTCATTTCGCTTCTGAACCAGTTGATTTAGTTAATAATTTTTGGATTGCAGGCACCATATCAAGGGCTGGGGCTAGCGTCAAGCTCATCTGCCAGACATTATCCACATAGTGGCTCTTACCAGGGCATGAAATATGGTACAGGTTCCAGTTCTCACTGGGATAACCAGCGGAGCAGACTGGGTCTAGATAAAGGAGGAAGGCGTGATAGAGAAAAGGACTCTCTGAACTACTCTAATGATTCTTTAGGAATTTCAAGTGATAGAAATAGAGGACCTAGGGCTTCAAAGCCAAAAAGCAAGAATTCTGCTGAAGAGAATGCTTTATCTGGCATACGTAAAGATGTTGAATCTACTTCTGGCTTTCAGCTTGACCAGTACAACAGCCAGAGTTTGTCACTGATCATGAGAATGCCAAGTTTTTTGTGATCAAGTCTTTCAGTGAAGATAATGTTCACAAGAGCATTAAGTATGGCATTTGGGCCAGCACACCACTTGGAAACAGAAAGCTTGATGCTGCTTATCATGAAGCAAAGGACATGACAGGCAACTCCCCGGTCTTCCTTTTTTTCTCGGTATGTTTTTGAGCATCTGGATCAGATTTATGTGAAGCCTGTTTGTTTCCGTTTGTCTTTTCTGCTTGAGGTTGCGTCTGATCATGCCAAGAACAGAATGATGATAGATATGTGATACTGTTCCATTTAGAAGCACATTGGTACCTTTTTGTGACACTCATAATCTATTGTGATCATGCTCTCTCGCCCCCTTCCCCCCCCCCTCTGCCGCGTCCCTCTCTTCATATAACTGTAAGTTAGGTAATGTGATACATAAGTTCATGAGAAGCAGTGAAAAGCAACTTTGAGGAATATGAACAAGGAGCATTTAGTTAGAGAGTTCAGAATAAGTTGCTGGTGGAAGGGGTCATTGTTAATAGGTACAGGGGCTGTTTTAAACCAACATTCTGGTGAGTGGTGGCAATTTTGCCTTTAACTGCTGATAGGAAAACACCTGTAAATATTTGTATAGATGGTCTGGGGACTTGTGAGGTCGTGTAACTTACACATCAATGACCAAGATCCATTGTGAATCGGCTAATGGAAGAATGAACTCACTACGTGTAACCAAAAGTGACCTTATTGAATGTAAACAGTATTTATTTTTTTTTTTATAATTATACTAGATACATAGCTTTTTCATTGCCTCAACCTTACCCTGGGCATTAATTTGATAGTTTAAAGACCTTTTGCCGATGTACTATTTGTATCCTTCAGGTAAATGCTAGTGGACAGTTTTGTGGGATAGCTGAGATGGTTGGACCTGTTGATTTTGAAAATGATGCGGAGTACTGGCAGCAGGATAGGTGGAGCGGGCAGTTCCCTGTGAAATGGCATGTTGTCAAAGATGTGCCCAATAGTCGGTTCCGCCACATACTTCTTGAAAATAATGACAACAAGCCTGTTACTCACAGTCGAGACTCTCAAGAGGTGAGGGGTTCTGTATTTGTTTTACTTGTGTCTGAAATTGTGTTTCTGAGTATGAAGCTGTTGAGCTTTGAATTATCCCCTTAAATTAGAGTTACATCTTATTTATCTCCTCTTCCCCCACCTCTACCGTCCCAAAATTTGTAATGAGCACAAAGAATTAGACATGGTTTTGAAACAGCATCTTTTTTGCTCAAGAAAATTCCGAGCATGGGTGGAAAACACTAATTGATCTACTTGTCTTTGGTTTTTGTGTCACCATTGACATGTGGGTCTTGTATAGGCCCTTTGGGATGTGAGATAAATGTCATCCATCTTTCTAGAGGTTACAGACAAAGCTTGATACTTTTGAGAGTTCTAGCAAGTTTTTCAAAGTTTTGATCCTTCCTAGTAACTGCTTTAAATTATTTTGTTGAATTTGCTATTTTCCCATTATGACTAACCACTGATTTCTATCCAGGTGAAACTTGAGCATGGAATTGAAATGCTTAAGATTTTCAAGGACTATGAAGCTGATACATCCCTTTTAGATGATTTTACATTCTATGATGAGCGGGAGAAAGCCTTGTTGGAAAAGAAGGCAAAGCAACGAGCTAGTGTGACAGGAAACTCTACTATTGCTCTTGCTGATCCAATTAATCAACTGTCAGACAACCTGGCTGATACTCTGAACTTGGACGGTAGTAAGAAGCTACCAAAAACAGAGTTGGAGTAGTTCATATGGTCCGAGATGGATAGCAGGAAGAATGATGTTATAAACCGGATGGAATTAGGTGTAGTTATTTTGGCTGCTGCAATGGTCATATGACTGGACGTCACTGACTGTGATCGTTTTAAGGTGGTATTTCGTTTACCTCAGACAGACCATCTCTCATCTTCTCTCCTTTCTCTCTCGCTCACATATTTGTTGATTGTTTGAAGTAGTTGGTTGTACAATGAAGTTGTTGGGGGTGAGGAGGAGCAGGGAGAAAATTTCAAATCCTGATTCCGTCTCTCTCTCTCTCTCTCTCTCTCTCTCTCTCTCTCTCTCTCTCTCCTTTTTTCTTTTTTTTTTTTTTTTTTTCCGTTTATTACTTTGGCAGGTCTCTTATGATGTAGGT